TTCATAACTAATATTAAGGTACAGTGTGCAAATTGTGGTTCTTTTTCTCACTTTGTAGATGAAATAAAATCACATCTCATGCCTTTGTATGTTGGAAAAAGGGTGTCTGTTGATTCTTTGATTGCTCTGGATTCTCTGGGATGGCATGCACTAGACTATCACATGGGCACCTGGTGCCAGTGGAAGGAAAGCCTTACTGATGCTGTTTTCCATTGACCTCATCTTGAGGAGAGTTTACTGCTCTGTTAGTGTGAAACCTGACCTAATGGTGGGTTCTCCTGCTTAGGGGCAGTGTTTCCTTGTGTTCTAAGTGGGATTAATTTTCATAACTTAATTTTATGGGTCCAGGAGGCAAGTTAAGTTGCTATGGGAACAGTAAGTGAATTTTCTGGCTTTAGTACATGTACCACCTCAACAATGATTCCATAATGTCATTGGTATATTCCCTTTCCCAGTTTCATTTCCTTTCTCCTTTTTAGAGGGCTGTTGAAGGAGGAAGAGGGATTTTATTCACAGCTTGTTTATCTGACTAGTGTGTCATAATATTCCCCTGGAGAGTTATTTTCATGGTAATTACATGTCCACAGAATGCATGTGTCTAACCTTTACTTCCTGCCATTGGTGGGTGCTAGTTTTGACAGGCATTCTAACATCATGGAGGCTCTCTCTCAGAGAAAGAGAGAAAAATGTTGTTCATCTTCATATCCTGGGGACCCAGCCTCATGCCCCAAACTGAATAATTATTTATTGAACTTAACCAGGATTTGTGCACTGTGATAAGTTGTGCTCATTCACATCTCACCTTGATCACAATGAGTCATTCAATTTTGCTTTGCTAAAATTGAAAGGGCTTTGGGTTAGATAGCTATATGCACACAGAGTGTGATTCAGGGAAGTACTTGCATCACATTTCTAGGCCACATAATCTTTAGCCTAACATTTGCATATTAATGGATAATTGTAAAACATTATGTAAATTATACATGGTGGTGAATATATTATCAAATCAAATGGCCTTTGGGGTAATTACAGGATGCTGCTGTGTCAACTAGGATGCTGCAGGTTGAATGCTGAACACCTTCTCGTAGAAAGAAACAACCTGGGCCAGGCTTATGTTTGTAGATAGTCACAAGTTGCCTTTCATTATGATTTTCCATTCTATTGGATAAAGACTCTAATACTTGGGAGGATATTAGTTATCAAATATTAGATATTTAAAAGAATAAAATTGTGACTATAAAGTATTAGAATGTAGAAACTTAAGTTTGGAGATGAATTTAGATGTTTCAGCCACAGAGAAAGTCCTATGAGTATTTATGTCTTTTAATGTACTTATTCTAATATTCCTTTTCTTTTCTTGTTTTAAAATAATTCATGCCCATTATAACATGCAGCAGACAGTTCATCCTCCTTATGTTATCCCATTACTAAATAGTTGCATTCATTGGCTGCTTACATGTGTCCTCCCTGAAGACCACTGTCTGATTTATTTCCCTATTCTATATCTGTCTAGCAGCATGGTATTTTTTTCTGTATATAGTGGCAAGAAAGCAAGGAAGGGAGGGCAAAGAGAGGGAACAATAGAAGGAAGGCGAGAGAAAACTGGATTAATAAGTGCTACCCCCAAGGGACTGAGTTCTGCGCAACCCGTCACTTTCTTCAACCATTTATTAGGCTTGCTGTATTAGGAAAGAAATGAGCTTTCTTTTTAGAACATGTCTTTTTCCATAAAGGAAATCTACAATTTTTGACTGCACCTAGTATTTTGAGGGCAGCAATGTCTCTGTAAATATCTCCTAGTAATAAACATTAGATGGCGGACCTAATTGTCTTTAGCACCATTTAAGACTTCCTTTCTGATCCTTAGTTCCTGAAAGTTGTTATCTTATTTGATTTCCATGCAAACTGACCTCCAGACCTATTATTCCATTTCTGGTTCTCTGAGTTCTCTGTTCTATTAGTCAGTGCAAACTAAAGATAAATGTTTTGTTCTAAAACAAACCTGATGTTATGGCAGGTTCCCCCAAAACACAAGGCATAAAATGATAAACAAATTTGGAAAATCAAAACCGGTCATTGACCTGCTTCTTCACTTTATTGGGTCAGCGTCAAGTCACTTGGGACTTTAACCCAAATTTTTGACAAATTTATTTACTTGGTTTAAAGATTTAATAAATATATTAAAATTAGTAATATAGGCATTAAAACTCAAAAGAATTATTGACTGAAAGTTTTATATTTTGGTTCATCTAGAATTTTGCAGACTCAGACTAGACAAAAGGAATGGAGGTATGCGTCTCTAAAGGACATTTGTGTTGCTTTCTCAGCTCCAGTTAGATGGTTTTATCCTGGCTTTGCCTCTTTTGGCAAAGCCAAAAGTAACTTCAGGCAAGTGCTTACATAATCCCTTCTGCACACCCTTTAAAAGCAGGGTTCATGAGTCCCTTCTCACAGCTCTGTCGTGAAGGTCAAAAGAGATCACAGAGATGAAAGACCCTAACAGGGACCTAATCCATAGTAGGTGCCTAATGCACATTTTTTCCTTATAGGTATCTTTCCTTGCCTCCATATTTTTTCTTCCTGCAATGTTGTCTCAAAAATCTCTGAAGTGTTTTTTAGTCAAGGTGTAAATCTGTGCTTGCCCTTGGGCAAATCATTTATTTATTATTCATCTGTTTTTCCTCCATTTCCAGCTCATATTGGTAATTTGGAGCCATTGGGAACTAATGAGAAAATGAAAGGCATTGTTATCATTATTGCTCTGGTGCCAGGAGGTCTCATGTGGGGAAACTTGAGCGAGTGGAAAAGGATAACGGAAAAAAAAAAAGAAACCTGCCTAGAATTAAGCTGTGCTGTCGAGGGCCTCCTTCATATGGCTTCAAAGCCACATTTCCTTAAGTGGGAGTTAAAGGCTTAATCTCTTTCCCAGTTAGAAATAATTCCTAATTATTAACATAATAGTGAATCATGTTTTGGCTCTGTGAGATATTATTGATGGCAGTAGTGAAAAACAGTAAAACATCAAAATGACTTCTGCCACACAATGAAATAGTAAAATAAACAGCTAATTAATAGGTCATACAACATTTTTTACTATTGTACTAGAAGTGTGACACACATACCATTAATTTTCAGCAAGGATAAGTTGTATGGCTTTTATGGTGTTCCATATGAAAAGAGCTGACAGACATATTGGCCTGAAGCTCACATTAGTTCATAGTTTTTGAAGAGTCCTTCATTCTAATATTCTTGCATGGGGATCTGGAACTTCTTTGTTTTCTAGAGGTGTATTCAGAGCATACTCAATACCCAGAGACTGTCCTGATCCTGGGGAGCAAATCCAAGTGTTTTTTTATTGAGAATCTTCTAAGGAGAGATCATATCACATCCCAGTAGGAGGTTAGCTTTTGAGGAACCTGGAAGTTGTTTAGCTGATTAGTCTGATGAAACTGTGTCAGGATTCCATTTCCTTCCTTTCTTCACATCCCCATCTGAACAGTGTGTCCTCCTACATTAGCAGGAAAGTAAGGGCAGCATAAGACTGCTTTGGGGCAGAAGGAGCGAGCAGCTGCTCTGGGCTCCCACCTATCAGATTTTTAAAGTGGATGTTATAATCTTCAATGAAAGTGTGGTAAACCAGCTGAAAACTCCATCACAGGAGAGTGAGATTTATAACAAATTTTATACCTCTGTTGCTTTGCCTGGAGTGATAGATCCTGGAGAATTTCACATTTAAATGACACACGTCCCATTGAGTCAAAGAAAGTGAAGATGTTGGAGATCTAGTGTAAGGGTGTCCAAGAGACTCTGAATTGAATAACCTACTGCCCTGGGACAGAATTTTCACTGTTCAGAAGCCAGTGGCCTCTAATATAAAATATAATGTGTTTTGTGCACTTGTGATTATGGGTGTCATTGTAAAGTTGCCATCTGTCTTTTGTGACTCTGAAGAACTTACTTTTTCTTACTACTGTCCTGCTTTCATTTTTGCGTTAGAAATATATTGGCCCTTAAATGTTGGTGGTATTGGTAGTGGAATTTTTAAGTGGTTTTACTTGACACAATGGGAAGTTGATGCTGATTCCCAAATTTAAAAGAAAATGTTTTATAGTGGAAAAAGCCCAATGAAGAGATCATTAACTAGCAAAACTGGCAGTACCAACTCTGTACCAAACTCAGTTTCAAGATACAGCTTTGTGAAGAGAAGTGTCCTTACCAATGGACACAGAGGTCAGCTCTTTGTGGACATGTGTGTGCACATGTTGTGTTCAGTGGAAGTTTAGATTAGCCTCTCTTCCAATGGTGCACTGAACTTGCTGGATTGAGGGTAGTGTTTCTGAGGTGACTTGAGCATCTGTATTTTGTAGGCATCTGAAAGGAGTCATATTGAAGGCCTTGTAAAGAATAAAGGTCATAAAAGAATCTCTCTTGTGGATTATTTCATGAAAACCTTGTGGCATTGGGAGACTTGATTTCTATTCCAAGTGGTTTTTACCACTTTCTACCTCAAGTAACAGATGGTGGCACATCTATTCTATAAAGAGCAAGCTGTGCCTTGTGGAGGTCACTGTGACAGTGAATCTTTAACACTTCATTTCCTTTCTCTTCATACTCTTAAATCTACATTTCTTAAATCCACGTTTGCATAAATGGTTGTTAAAATTTATTTTTTTCCAGAAATATGACAAATCTATGCTGTAATATCATTGAACTTAATTTTAAATCAGAACCAGGATGCAAAACTCACTAAGAAATGTATGCAAGGGATAATGTAAAACTTGCTCTTACTAATATAATTCCCTTTAAAATAACCATAATTCATGTTGTCTTGTTATATGTTTGTTTCAGTTCATTTTTTTTATTGGTATCAACAACCTATATTGGTTGAAATGGGAAGTGGAGGCAGTAGGGATAGTACTAATAGTAATGCTTAGGCTATAGGGGAGGTTCCACAGGTCTGAAATCAAAGGAGTGGGTTAGCACATTCTTCCTCTGAGTAGCCGTGTCGGGTGCTTGAAGATAGAAACAGTGAACTGGAAATGTGGAAGAAAACCTGTCTCAGAGTGGTCCAGAGCCCTTTCCCTCTGCCTCTGGACATTACAAGACCCAGGCTGCATGCCAGATCCCCATCAACAAAAGAAGTGTTATAGTTTATACAACAATCATGTATGAAACACCCCCCTTCTTTTCTTCTCTATATTATACCTAACATACTGAAAATATAATAGTAATATTTGTGAGTACTTGCCATGTGCTAGACATTTTGCTAAGTATTTTTGTGTCTGTTAACTCATTTAACTTTCTTACTTTAACATTTAACTTTCTTACTCTCCATTTTACTAATGAGAGAACCCATGCACAGGTCCAGTGACTGGTGTAAGGTCACATGGCTAGAAGGTTCAGATAACAAGTGGAAATCAGGACTTCAGCTGCAAACTGCAACTCCACACACTGGACTCCAGGGTTCTGACCCTGAGTATATCATTATGCTTCTCCCCTTAGCCTCCCACCACCTTGCATCCACCAACACAAACACAAAATCAGCTGTTTTGGTGCTGGCCAATTCCATCTGCCAGTTACAAACACCTTCCTTTGCAAAGGTCAAGAGGGGTCACATCCTTGGTAAAGAACCAAATACAGGACACATTGCTTTCATATTTAAGAATTGACAGATTAAGCAGCCCCAGTCTGTGGTAGGGTTATTCTGTTTTGTTCCTAACAGGCAACAGCACACCATCTAATGCACCATGGTTCTGTTTTAGCTTCTTTGTGGTCTGATCAAGAGCTTCTGCAGAAGAAATTCTAAACGTGCTGCTCCTGGAATTAGTTATCTCACTGTGACCCTGCCTGGTGCTCCTGTCAAGAAAGTCACTTAGATGAAACTGCAACTGTTGTTGCTTTGTAATCACTGTATTTCTTTCCTGTGGGTACACTGCCCTCATAAAGAATTGGCTAGGGATCTATAGTCAATAAAAATAGCTTGTGTTTATAAATCACCTTTCTTCCAAAGTGTAAGAATGACTCCACAAATCTTATTCAACCTGAAATCTTCCTGAAATATTATTGAGGGAGTCAAGACTATTATAAATTGTGAATTCTTTCCAAGTAAGATTGTGCTTTTTCATTTCGTTTGTTCCTCTCTAAACACCAATGTTCACTAAATGTATTTTGATTCATTGGTTCCCAGTGAAGGTTAAGGTCTATGCTACATTTCAATGGTTTCCATGGAATGAAACATGAGAGTTTAGGGCTTCTCTTTCAGCTAAGGTGGTGAGCAGAACATCTCTCTCAGAAAGAATAGCCCACCATGTATGGTCAGGCACTGCCCTAGTGGAGGCTGCCCCATTCACATGGCCTGTGGTGATAATGGTGTTCCCTAGAATTGAGCGCTGCTCAATTCTGTGCAGAGTGATCCAGTCAAAATTATGAGAGACGAAGGAAGAGAGTCTATCTGAGAGTGGAATTAAGCTAGTTCCCTCTTGAACATCCACTCACAAGTTAGTTGGGGCAGGTCCTGCCAGTGGACAGTTAGTGATGATTCTTTGTTAATTCTTGGGCAAATAGCTGGGCAGTGAGTCTGCAGGGGAGGGTGTATAGGTATCTTGATTGCTGAAGTTTTGATTCTAGGCTTAGGCATATGCTTGAAATTCTTAAATCTGTATAATTATGTACCCAGAAGTCATTGTTTGCTCCTGAATTTTATCGGTTATCAAAAATGAAGAAAGTGAGGTAGAGAAATCAACTTACTGAAAGGTGGTTGGGATGGATTTCACCCAAATCTATATAGTCTGGGTCTTTACAGTATCCTCTGCCACTTCTAGTTTGGATAGGTTTTTTTTTTTTTTTCCTATAAATGTGTCAGCTCTTTGTTTCTTCTTATTGTGTCTGGGTACTTGTCCTTTGGTCACAGAAGGCATTTTCTCATATTCACTTTAATGTCCAGTTTTTATCTTCGGAGGTGAGTTGCAACTGTTTTTTGACATTGCTAACAGGGAGATATGAGTATTGTGAGGAAGCTAAGTGATAAGCTACTCAGAAATCTGTTCCCTGGGTGATGGAATGTGCTCAGCTCTATTGTTTGTAAGCAGCAGCATTACTGCTCAGACATGAAATGCAATACATATGCTAATATGTGTATGAATGGTTGAAAACATGTTTGAACCAAAGAAGCTTGTCTGTTTCACATTTATAGGTAGTGGAAATTGAATTTTTTCAGCAGGTTTTCAGTGAAGATGGCAGAAGTATCAGAAATTGGAGATTGCTACAAAGTGCTATCTTCTTGTGAGTTACTGTACGCATGCATGCTACTTGGAATGGATAAAACGATCGCCAATCTTGGAATCATAACGTTCTGTAAAATATTGCATAATATGTATTTTATAGATCTCCTAGATACCCTGAACATAATCAGAATAAACAAAATTATTAAATCTAACATGAATTGAGATCATATAAAATGCTAACATTTTATTTCCTTTCACATTACCTCTTAAAATTTCATTAAAGTATTCCTAATAAAATATCAACACATTTTGCCTGTTAATATTAACCCCATTGCTTAAGTGGCCCTTTTTCTTTGTTATAGCATGTATCACTTTCCTGCTTGTGGGGCAGTTCTTGTGCCCATAATCAAGTCTCCACTCTTCCCATGTCTTTCAAAATACAGACCATTTTTTATGCAATTTTTGTAGTTACAGTTAATCAGTGTATACTAAGAAACTGAGGGTGGATGTTATAATTTTTTAGTCTTTAAAATTGATTCTGAAAACCATATCACAGACATTTTTATTATTATAGTATTTTTATTAAGGGAACAATAGTTTTCTAACATTGTTATAATATAATACTTGTTATACATATAATACTTGGGGTTTGGGTTCATACCTCTTTACATTATACTGTACTGCAATAACCAACATCAAAGCACCAATAACCCTCTACTACATTTCGTTGGATCCTTTTGTTCCCAATTCCCACCCTACCACTGTGTAGCTTCAGTTTTACAGTCAAATTTCTAGGGTTTGTTTTGTTCAGCTTTCTGTTTCTTTGTTTAGCATCTCTATTTTCCACATATGGGTGAAATCACACAATATTTTCCTTCTCTTGATTTATGTTGCTTATTATTATCCCCTCCAGTTCCATCTATGTTGTTGCAAATGGCAAGATTTCATCTTTTCTTATAGCTGAGTAGTATTCATTGTGTATATATACCACATCTTAATTCACTCCTCTGTTGTTGGGTACTTAGTGATTTCCATAGGTTGGCTATTGTAAATAGTGCTGTACCGAACATAGGAGTGTACATATATCTTTGAATTAGTGTTTTTGCATTCTTTTGGTAGATACTTAGAAGGGGACTGCTGGATCATAAGGTGGATCTATTTTTAACATACTTCATGCTGTTTTCCATTGGGGATGTACATTCCCACTAACACTGTGCAAGTGTTCCCTTTTCTCCACATTTGTTGATACTTGGCTTTTTGATATGGGCTATTCTCACAAGAATGAGGTGGTATCGTGTGGTTTTAGTTTGAATTTCCCTCATGAAAATGGATAATAATCATTTTTTTTCATGTCACTGTTGACCATCTTTATGTATTCTTTGGGAAAGTGTCTGTTTAGTTCTTCTGCCCATTTTTTCTAATTGCACCATTGGTTTTCTTATTGCTGATTTGTATGAATTCTTTGCAGATCTTGAGTATTAGTTCATTCTTGTTTGTATGTTGTTCATTTTTCCCCTCACTCTGTAGGGTGCCTTTTCATTTCTATGATATTTTATTTCACTGTGCACAAACTTTTTACTTTAACATAGTCTGATTTGTTTATTTTTCCTTTTGCTTCCCTTAATTTTGGAGATGAGCCCCCAAAGATATCACTAAAACTAATGTTGTGGAGTGTTTTGCCTGTGTTTTCCTCTATGCATGTCATGGTTTCAGAGCTTCCATCCAAATCGTTAATCCATTTTGAGTTAATTTTACAATTTTTTAATGAATTGCTGAAAAAGACTAGTTTTTGGTATTTACAGCAGACAGTAGCAACTACTTAATCCCTACCAAAAAAATCACTTTGCTTTTGCATAATAAATATGAACATGACTGGACAGGTGCCCTAAACATAGCATATCTAGGTGATAGCACATGGATATGTTTTCAGAATTCTTAGAATAATAATTCTTGAGGGTATTGAGTCTGTCCTTGGATGTATTTTTTTAAGGATTTGAATTCATAGTATGAATAAAAGTATGCAAGCTATATACACCAGACTTTTTAGAATACTCAATAAAGAGGAGTATTTCATAATTAAAGATTTTTAAATGTCCTACTATGTTGAAACCTTGACATGAATAACAAAATTAATTTACCTTTGTTAACATTTTACAGTTAGATTTATTTATTTATTTATTTATTAAGATTCATTTATTTATACAAGAACTGGGGTACAGGCTCAATGTGCAGGAGGGTGAGAGAATTCACCAGAGACAGAACTGGGAGCAGAATAGGCAGACAGACCAAAGACACTGCTGAGGTCTGCTGCTCCACGTGGGTTTCTCCCTGGCTGGCCAGGAATTGAACCGGCACTGCAGAGGCTGCGGACAGCTTCTCAGCGCTGCGTTCAACCTGCTGCACCACTGGAGAGGCCCTTGCAGTTAGATTTAAAAAACCAAGGGCATAAGTTTAAAACTGAGAAGACTTTGATCAATAAATCTGGGTAAAGGACCTGAACATTTTAATTGATGACACTGTCAGCCTAAGCAAATGGCAAATGGTTGTTACCAGTGAAATCTCCTGCTGCACTTACGGAAATACAGTTACCTGATCCATGAAGGGAATTAACATTCCCATTATAAATATACCTACCTCAGATCATGGCTAGAATACTAGGAATCATTCTGGGGTATGTTTCTTAAGATGACCTTAGGCAGGGCGGGGGGGGGGGAAGCACATTAAGAAGAAAATGAAGATGTCTTTAAGCAAGAATTGAAGAAATGGAATATGATTAATCATAAATAGAGAAAACACATTAAATTTTTTCAAGTGTTTCAAAAATTGTCAAGTGAAAACTAGTTTGACTTATTGCATTTAACTTGAGAGGGTAAACTAGAACTAATGTGTATGGAAGTTTTAAGAAACCAGACACAATTT